AAACATTACATTTTTCATCTTTCAAACCCAAAAACCAACCACTTGGAAAAAAACTAATGCATCAATTTACACTGGAAATTTAACAGCCAGAGCTTGTAATACCATTTCTCACAATGAAAGTGCAAGCTTCATGATTAATGAATCAGTGTTTGCTGAGCTCGATTAACTTGATAAACTCTTCAAAGTTCTTTAAGAGAATTTAATATGAAAGAAGTTTGTTATTTAGTACTTTTCTTCTAATGTTTTTAATCAGGACACTTTAAAAAAAAGTTTTTCTACGTGAAGCAAATGATAACTGTCTTTTTTCTTAAAATTTAATCAATGTAGTATATATGTTTTAGTTTTAGGATTGCAATGTCATCCCTTTACACAGGAAGTCAGTTGTTTCTTTTGTTTGATATTTTAGTGAACTGTTGAGCAGGCCTTTTTGTGTTTTAGTGTTTTCAGACCAAATTCTACATTCAAACTTTAAGCCGAGCAAGTGAGTGGTGATAGATTGTCAGATTGCAGGTTGCAGATAGCAGTAGTGTCAGGTCACTGTCTTTTAAGGTGTTGAGCAGGGGGTCTTTAAGTGGTGTCCGGCTCAATCCCTCCCGTGTGTGAGGTATCAGGTTCCCCCGTCCCCCAGTCTCCTGGGAGCTGCAGCCGCCATTAGAATGCGGCTTCTGCTGCCGCTGTTTAGTCCAGGATCGTAATTGCTTTAATGGTGTGTTGATGTAGATACAATCACCTGCTCTGCCCACCCCAGCAGGTATAAGGTGTAGATAGACCCCCACCCCAGCCCCACCTCAACCCCCCAAAACCCTTTTGAGCCTTTAATGCCTCCCTCCCCTGTGGTCACTCATCACAGTCCCCAAGATGCTTTTATATGCCTGCCCAGGGTACACAGAGCAGGTCACCAGAGAGCCTGGAATGAGAGTTATTCCCCCCTCAGGCCGGGTCTGCTCTGGTTCCTGTCATCTAGTGGTCGTCCAAGCTCTGGATTTATCAGTGCTTACACTTTAGGACCACCTCATGTTGCAGCAACTGCACTCTCTATGTGTCAAGTCATCAAGGTCTTCTTTGTGTTCAATTTGAGAACTAGGCTATTTTTTTTTATATGACAACAAAAAACATGTCTTCAAATTTACTGTGACAAGCTTTCAAGGAAAGACTGAATATTGGTATTTTGTATTACTATTACAGTTCTCAACAGTGGAACAGCATTTCATTTGCATGACACAAAAATAAGAAAAAACTTCCAGTAATGTTTCAGTTTTTATTTGTCATGCAACCGTGTGGAATTTCTGGTTGTCAAAGGAAGGACTGTTTAATTTGCAGCAGGGCAAGATTCCTGCAGACATCATTCTTTGGCGCCCTGTGACAAGTAAGTCACTAATCAGAAACTAGTCCTGGTGTTCATTTTTTTTGCAGGGTTGCGTTGATTTTTTTTAAGCACCCTCAACAAGCATCAGAAAGCATATGTTAATATATGAACCCAATAATACCTGTTAAATCTGCTGATAAGACATGATAGTTTGTAATTAATTTATCATCCCATTGGCCGAACTATAACTACAGCACAAGAAGTATTTTGAAACTGCAAATGTCATTCCAAATGCCAAGCTGTTGGCATCAGCTACAGCTTGTGAATTAGTGCTGCCATATGCATTTGAACTATCTATGATATGTGATATACAGGCCATCACTCTTAACGTCAACGGCCTCCTTTTCCTGTTGGCCAGAACTGCTTACCCCAGCATTTAGCTCAGACAAAGAAAAGGGCTTGAAGGCCTCAACCAGACGGTGATCCCTTTCCAAAACTTTATTAAAGGCTGTTGAGGATGTCAAGGCTGCTGATTTACCGTGTTCCTGCTTAGCAGCCTGACATCCTAAAGGCCTAAACACAGGCTCGGCTATAAACAGGAGGAATTTTTAAGAGCAGCTAAAGTGGTTATTAAATGGTAGCTGTATTATAGTGGAATAAGATCTGATGAAAGGAAACGAGGAGAAGGGCCTTAAACTCCCTCACCCAGGGCTGATGTACGACTTCCAGGCAATTTAACATTCAAACATGATGAGTTTAGGTCACACTATCTGGCTTTATCCTTAATTCATTTAGACCAAGAGAAGCATTATCCAGGACCCTGTACTCTATGGCTTTATGTCCCTGCTTTTATCTGTTTTTGGTCCCTAGCCAGCTTCGACCTTTTCTTTGGAATAAAGATTTAACTTTGATAATTAGTGCCTGTCACATAAACCTTTTACAGCTGCCAGCATCAGGGGGAGGCTGTGTCATCCCTGAACGGCTGAGCGCCTCAGTGACACTGCAGTCAATTACAACACAGTTCAAAAGAATAAGTATGATATCATGATGGTGACTCCTCATATATGGAAAAATACTGACCAAACAGGAGATTGTGTCAGCCTTGTAGTTAACATGCAAAATAAGGATACAGATTGTCTTCCCTATAACATTTAAAAGTCATCAGTCAGAGGATTAAAACTGATGAATGAAACGTCTTGAGCAACTGATTTACTTCTAAACTTTGTTAGTGACATCTGTTTGGAGAGTTCTCATTTGAAGAAATGCCTCCAGTACAGCCTAAAATGCAGGATTAGGTGTATGCAGGTACCTGAATTTTATCCAACACAATAATTATTTTGCCCTCTTCAACAAATCAACTTGTTTCCCAGAACTTTTACTTCACTGTATCATAATTACCAGCACAAGAGCATAACTGTCCCTGTGCTGGCATTGTGAATGTATTGTAGCCGCCCTTGACATCAGCCTTACAGCTGCAAAGATAAAGTTATTGGTACAACTTTTAGCTTGACAATGGCACACAACACCATTTGGTGCTAAAAAGGAATGCAATGTTCTCAGAGCTATATTAGATATACCAGTTTAATATTAAATATCTAGATTTTTTCAATGTGCAGATATATCATGTCTTGAGGGGTTTTAAGCTAAGCTGCTGGCGTTAGCTTCGCTTGTTTCTAGTTGCTCTTTGTATTTTTAGGCCAGGATGAAAATACTGAATAGAGCAGTTTCACATAAAAACATATTTGTTAATCTAATAGTTTTTGGCGAACAACATAGAGAGAGATGTGTAAAGACATATTTTTACGGAATCAATTGTTACTCCTACATTTATGTATTCATGCCCCTTTTGTAATTAAGAGTGGCTGTTGATGTATTTCATTTAAGTAAGTTCCTTCATATACATTTTCTTTTTGCATTTCTTCATGTAAACCAGAGCTTAGCCATTTAAAATTAATAGCAAGTATACCACATCATACATAGGATGAGTCTTATGCAAATGTTATTTACTGGAATCTAAATTATACTCTTCATCAGCTGATTTGCAAACTCAGAGCTTCAGAATGAGTATCTCCTGTATGAACCCTCCAAATTTTACTTCCATGAAATCAGATGTGCAGGTCCACGCTTCGGCCAATTGGGTTTAAATCTTTATAATTATGTGTGTAATTAGTCCATTGTGAGGAGTGTGTTTGGGGAAGCCTCTCTGCTAAAGGCTGGAGGGTCTCCACCATAGTGGAGTTATCTTTCCTTCTGAGTGTGTGTGTGTGTGTGTGTGTGTGTGTGTGTGTGTGTGTGTGTGTGTGTGTGTGTGTGTGTGTGTGTGTGTGTGTGTGTGTGTGTGTGTGTGTGCGCGCCTGTGTGTATGTGTGTTTGTGTGTGCCTGTGTCTGTGTGCTCCATTCACAAAGCACTTGTCTCCTAACACCTGCATGCCCAGCATCATTGTTCTCCAGACAAGCTCCTATAAGCCCTGGTGTCATTGTATCCGGAGGGTTAAGCAGCAGCCTTGTGCTGCACATACACTGACCCTCATCAGGCTGTGAGCTACCCTGTGGCACTGTTTCACAAGTATGCTGAGGTTGACTCAGATGACCTCTCTCAGGTGTGTCTGTCTGACTGTGGTAGTCTGCCGGTTGTGAAGGTGTGTGTGGAGCTGTGTGAAATAAGACAGCAGCATTGCCTCACAAGTCACGACATTGATGCAGAGATACAGAGCATATTTAGTCTGTGTTTTGTTGGTCATCCAGCGCACACTAACACCTGGCAGCACTCTGGGTGTGAGCTGGACAGCTGTGGTCAGCCGTGCTTGGAATAAACAAGAGGCCCTGGAGAGATTAATGACTGTCTAAAGAGCGAGAGCCAAGGCACCTCGTCCAGGAATGTACCATTTATAAATGGAAAGGAATGGGGTGAATGGCAAGCAGAGCAAGCAGGAAGGGGCTGGCTACAACCCAGGTGTACTCTCCATCTTGTTTAAAGATGTATGTATATTATAATTCCCTTCCTCCTGTCGGAATAGTCGTGGCTGTGAAAATAGAGGATCCATTTGGAAGACAGTTAAATTTGTTGCAAGTATTTGTCCAAAGTGAAGGCTCGGCTGCAGCCATTAAATAACTGTGAGAGAAGGATCTGAGGCGTGTTAACATATTTGTTCAGAGAGGAGACAGACCATAAACACACCATGGTTTAAGTTACTAGGTTATACCTCTTTTTATTGGGAAACAAGATCTCCTCTTCCCTAAGCATGCTTTCTTCAAGTCATGTCAGCCCTCAACACCTGCACTCATCACTTGACAAGCAATATCCTGTGATTAGCTTTGTGTGCTCTTATAAATATATGTATTCTTTCAACACTTTTCCAGGCTCATGGTAGGAATTCAAACTAAAATATTTTAACATGCATCTGGTTTTAAAGGTTGATCATCAGTAGTTTACCAGAACTATGTGGTATTATGGGTTACAAACTGAGTCTTGTGTCATTTCAAACTAAATCCCTCTGTGTTTGCAAATAAATCCGGCAGATGACAACCCGCCTCTCAAAAATCAAGTCATGTTTTTTTTTTTATATGCTTGGTCAAGATTTTCCCTCATTTCTAACTTTTTCCCTTTCTCTCACATTAAAGATTCTTCAATTTATAATAACTTCACTAATTGCATTCCTTTGTTGTTACCCCCCCCCCCCCTTTCTTCTCCAGTCCCAGTATACAAACCTGGGGCTCCTGAACAGCATGGATCAGAACATTCAGAATGGCGGCTCGACCTCCACCAGCCCCTACAACAACGACCACGCGCAGAACAACGTGACAGCCCCGTCACCCTACGCCCAGCCCAGCTCCACCTTTGATGCCATGTCTCCCTCACCGGCCATCCCCTCTAACACAGATTATGCCGGGCCCCACACCTTTGATGTGTCCTTCCAGCAGTCAAGTACAGCAAAGTCTGCCACCTGGACGGTAAGATCCTCATTCATCAGAGACGCTTGTGCAGGCCGTGCGGTTGCTAATGGTTAAGCTGTGTTTGCAGAAGATCTTTTACTGCATGATGTTTATTTTACTAAAAAACTCAAACTTTTCAAAGCGGCCTCACTTTAAGTAGCAGTAGGCGATGCTGGCATGTTGGCTCTCAACCTCTGTTAAGTGGTGAATCTGTACCAACATGAACACAGGAAAAGTTACGATTGATATTGATCTTTAAACATCCTCCTGGGGTGCTAGTTTAGCTCAGTCCATAGAGCGGCTGCCTCGTGTACAGAAGTTACAGCCACAGTTTGAACACAGGCTTGGCCCTTAGATGCACATCTGCATCGCTCTCTCCTCCCCCCACATTTTCCTGTCTCTCTTTAGCTGTACTATAAATAAAGACAAAGATGCAGAATAAATAAAAACACAAATAAAATGACATTGTTTCACAGCTGTAACATTAAAGTATAGTACATTAGTTGGATCAAAAGATGCATAACCATAATATGTCCTTGGCTAATTGCTAAATCTAATCTAAATAAGCATAATAATATGTTGGCTCTGTGCTCATCAATCAATTAATATGTTAAAACTTGTATGTTTAATCGATACAAGGCAACAGGGCAAAGGTGAACATTTTTGGCAGATGCCTGAGCTTTCTTTATTCTGTGACCTCAGTGTTTCCCACTGGATGATAAAACCTACATATCATTAGCTACACTCTTTCTTATGTTTCTCATGAGTATGTGAAATGCTTGTCACTATAAATATTGACTCACAGAGACACATTTATGCACTGGCTGTCATCAGAACAGGTCAGCATGTGAATCAGTCTGTCAGAGCAGAGGTTGAAGAGAAACTTCTTCCATGAACTCCTTATCTGACAATCTGTGCTTTAGGCAGATTGAAGTGCACTTTATTTGAAAGTCCTGCGTTGCACAACTATATCTGGCAGGGAGGAATGTCACTTGAGATGTATAGCTTCAAATCATGACTAAACCCCAGGCATTTCTCACTGAGGCATCACCTGATGAAAGAAGTGAAGCTGAAGGGAATGAGCTCACTACACAGACTGTCACCAGACGAGAAACCCACTTAAACCTCTTTTTCTCTTATCCTTCAAATGTGTTCTTTATTAAACTACTCATTCATATTCCTCAACTATACCTTCACTTATAGCTCCCGGTGACACATTCATGTTAATTATATTCAAACTCCAGCTGACTCACAACTTTGCCAAAGTTCACCCGTACTTTGTTGATGACAGAGGTAAACAGCTTTAACAGTTGGTCCAGGTGTGGTGATGTCCTGAGCAGCATGTGACCATGTGATGCTCTGTAAAAGCTACACAACCAGCTCCTCCTGCTCTGTCATTACACATGACAGGGCTGAGGGACAGCTGTTGCATCAGAGCCCCACCTGCTCGCTTGTTTATGTGTCTGATCTGCACTGCTGTGTGCTGACACTGTAACCACAAACCACACAAACTCAGTCTTTTAATGCACCCTAGCGGACGTCGTACAGTAGGTGACAGTCGCGTCACCAGGTAAGTGACGTACAGGTTGTGTCCTTGTATGTGTGACGCCTTTTTTTAAGGTAATGTTTTGACGTCCTGATCGGCGGTGAAGATATAGAGTTTCTTTGCTTGCTTCTTTGGTCATGCAGGACATGTTGCCATTCATAAAACTAATTAACCTTATTTACACAGCCCTCTAAAAAAATCCCCTTCAAAGTGCTACTACAAGATAGAAAAATAATAAAAGCAGGTGAGATATGTAACACTTTTTAATGGAAACAGATACCAGGACAGTGTATATAAAAAAGTGTATATTAAATCCTATATCATGATCACTGACTCATCTGACATGATTTCTTTGTACATAAAGGACCTACATCACTAAGAACACTTCCAGTCATTTCTTCAAATAGAAAAGGGGTGACACATTTTGATCCTCGGTTAAAGATTGATCGTAAACAGTCCTCACATGTGGTTCTCGTTCAATGTGTCGAATGTGACCGTTGTGAAACCTGCCGGGCTTAACGTAGCGACTTTAACGCTCCAAGTAAACAGGCTGAACTCAGGGAGTGCTAGGCCATTTCTCACCTTATTCCTTGGCCACGCCGACTGTGGGACTGTGACAGTTACCCAATTCCCACAGTGCCTCACTCACCCCTCTCATTTTCACAGTCCCAAAAAACAAAAGTGTTTGTCTGCTGTGCAACAGGTTAAGAGTGTGGTTTTGGGAGAGGCACGCCCCATTAGGACACATCCCCATCATAGACACACATGTAGTGCAACAGACAATGTGTCCTGCAGTCATAACACATGACGCAAGACTGGTTTGATGGGTCTGACTTAACGTTCAAAAGGAGTAGATGGCTACCTTATTATCTTCCCCTGACACCTTCACTTTATATTTACCAATTTAAGTCATAATTAGTTTAAAATAAACAGCATGGAGCCGTTTATACTCAGTTAATTTGCTATTACTGACTTTCTCAGTGGCACCTTTACATTTGCATAGGAAGCTAAAAATAAATCAAAGTACAAACTAAAATATTGAGGAATAAGAATAGCTTCTAAATAGGAAACTGTAACAACATGAATTGAAATAGTTGAAGAAAATTCAGTTAAATCCTTATAAGTAAAAAAAGTTAATAGATAGGTCTTAGCCTCTCTAAAAGAGTCTGAACTCTTCTAAATTAATCCGACGCCCCCTCAACAGTCCTTGTATTGCGTGGGTTGAATATAGTAGCCTGCATAGGGATGTCTGTCATGGGGAAAGGAGAGGTCTGAAGACTATTGTTAAAGCATTTTGAAGTAATTGTAGTTTTCTTTAAAGCTTTTGAGGTAGTTCAGTAAAAAACAAAAAAAAAACCTTGAACAACACCTGACAGAGTCTTTGTCTGAAAGTCTTTGTCTTATCTGAAAACAATAAAACTACACATTGATACTGTTCCAACATCGTTCTCTTAATTCTTAATTAATGGCCATTCAACAGGTATTCATAAACCCTTTGGTGTTGAAAAAAATGAGTTGCAAGTCGTATTGCATGTCTTTATTACACTAGCTTTGAAAATGTAATAAAACTATTGATAAACAAAAAAAGGAAGGGTACTCTTGATTAGTTTGTTTCATTAAATTTAAAATATCCCCATAGGAATTATGTAATGATAATATAAGACAATAAGGTTGTTGAGCTTCAATACTTTTGGATACCGTATATTTTGACTTATAGCAGCCATGAGCGAAAGAGAGCGTGCACAAATATGTTGGTAATGTGTTTGGAAAATGTAGACAGTGTGAGGGAGTTAGCATGCAATTTTTGGTGATTAAAACCAAGATATGACCCATTAATGTTTACCTATGACTTCTATTTTTGTTGCCATGGTACCCAAACAGGCATATCAAACAGCTTGATTGTTACTGGTAACGTATCTTAAGTTTTAAATTCTGATATCATGACAATCTTATAAGAACATTTGAAATTATCTGTGAAGAAATTAGAAATGTTAAACCCATGAATTTATTTCTTATGTAACAATTTGGCTTCACTGATCTTCATAGCGGGAGAGGGAGAGAGAGAGAGAGAGAGAGGGGGGGGGGGGGGGTCATTCTCCAGCTGTGATTATAGTTTTTGTTCCCATCACTGAGGAGGCTCCCTCACTTGATCTCAGGAGATCTTGGGTAAAGCTCCCATAATCTCTGCCCAATAGCTCGACTGCCGGACTGACGGACGGATGGCAACGAGCCACCGAAGATGTCACCACGGCAGCTTTGCTCTGAGCAAAGGCCTGCTAATGCCCCCCCTTTTTTTTGAAGCCCTGCGGGATCTTCCATGGGACTTAGAGGACTGTGTACTGTGCTTTTTGATGACTGTTCTTATGGAGACACACCTAATCCCTAACCCACACCTTAACCTCTTCCTGTCTAGGATGACTGTGAAACACACACACAGACACACACACACACACACACACACACACACACACACACACACACACACACACACACACACACACACACACACACACACACACACAGCATTTCCCAGAATTGCACCCACACAGTTTCCTTGTTGGCACTCTTGCAGTCTCCATGGTGTTCCCCCGTTTATTATGTTGTAAGAACAAAAACACTCCGCCAGGTCAAACCAATACACATGTTGGAGATGTTTTATCTTCTTTGCTTTGCTAAATTAATGGAGTTTGGCAAAAGAGGTGGCTATTGTTGTTAACTGATGCAACTATTGTGAGGCTGAAGATTGGTGGTGTTTGCTGTGTGTATTAGCTGCCACCAGGTATAGCAGTCAAAAGGAGAGGAATGTCACAGTGGGCTATCAGTGGGACGCTAGAGAGCTAGGGGGGATTACAGTAATGGATTGAGGGCCTGTAGATAATACTTGTGTAAATACTGTGTGCCTCTTTCCTGAACCCTGGGCTCTTGGAGAGGGTCCTGTCTTTTTGAGAGAGTTAAGCTTGATGGTTGCAGCTCACATTGCGCCGGAGGAGGAGGAGGAGGAGAGCCCTCCCGAATGCTCAAAGAGAAGAGTGTTCTAGCGAAAGGCTGCAAGACACAGCTTGTCCCTGGAACATCTGCGGGCCCGTCCCACGCCTCACGAGATGGGGCCGAGACTTGTTTGTGTCAAGAAGCTTGTCACGACTCGCCCAGCACAGAGAGACAAGCCCTGAGAGCTACAGATGGGAAAGGTAGAGGGAAAAAAATTTTAAAGGCAAGAGTATAAAAGGTTTTTTTTTTCATGATATGTGCTCTGGGATTTCTCCATAATTCACACTGAAAGCCCATTCTCAGTTTAGGTTACAAGATTATTTTTTTTTTTAACAAACAACACCTTAAAGACCCCTGCAGCAACATAACAGAAAACAAGCGTTGTGCTCGAGTCGTATAAAAACAAAAAGAACGACATTAGTCTTTCATCAGCAGGAGAAGAGTTTTTCTTGGATCAGAACTTAACAAATCCCTTGTGGAGTTTGTTGGAAGCTCTCAGAAACAATCTTTCTCACACACACAAAAATAATGTTGTTTGATGAGTGAACCGTGAAGTTACACAAACATTCTTGCAGCTTTAAGAAATTCTTGGAAGAAAAGTTAGAGCAAACATCTTGAAATAATTCAGAAGAAGCTCCTGTAATTCAGAGTGAAGGAATTCTCTTTCCTTCCTTTCTCCTAAAAATTTGGGGTTTTTTTTCATTTCCAAGGTCGCCTTCTTTATTTAGACCAATCTTTATGCACTGATACCCAAATGCAAACCTAAACGATCAGCAGAGGGCACTTGAGACTTTTGTTTATAAAAATATCAGGCCGCAGTCAGATCCACTTCTGTAAACTTTCAGCTTTATGACAATCACATGCAGTTATAATGTTTTTAAAAAGTGCACATGTCAAATTTGGATAATGTCTAACAGCAAAAAAAGACAAAGAAAAAGTGGATGAAAAAATTGAAAACATAGAGGGAGAAAAACATTAATATTTGTCAAAATACTTTGTAATGCTTATTTCAAACTCTCCTCAGTTTTCAGGCTTTCTTTGCAGAGAGAAATTAGCCAAAAATTGCAAAGAGGCAGTGCATCAAAAGTGATTTTGTTGTATCAAGATGTTGTTGAGTAAATCAGATGCTGAAATAACCTCTTAGGGGTATGAAAACAGTTTGTAAACCACTTGTTTGGCCTGCTGGTGAAAAGGGTTTGATGGCTAACCTGTAGAGTGACATACACATATTTGACTCTTTAAGCGCTGGCTACATTAACATGACAGTGTACAGGTTTGCCTTGGGACAGGTGTCACCACTCAGATCATTTTGGGGTTGAAGTTGGATACTGGAGACTTTAACAGACTATTTTGTTTTTAAACATAAAGCACGGAGAGAGGTTTTGTAAAACTTCACATTTTCTTGCATGAAGCAGGTGTTTCACCTCTGTTTCAGAGAAAAGAAGGGAGTGAAAAAAACTCCTTTGCATTATTGTTGAATTAAACAGGTTTGGGAGAAGCTCTAGGCATGACATGACATGTCAGGTATGAAGAAGACAAGACCAGAGGCGCCAAACAGTGCTTGTTTAAGACCTGATGTTTGTCAGGACTTGACTTCTGCATGCGCCCGCAGCGCCTGTCAGGGAGAAAAGAACGCTACAGCTGTGGGCCTGCCTCAACCTGTGCTGCACGGGAAGTGTGTGTGTGTGTGTGTGTGTGTGTGTGTGTGTGTGTGTGTGCGTTAGAAAGTAAATGAACACTTGCAGTACTGTGGAAGCATCTGCACAAATTGTATGTTGCATGCACTTAGATTATTATAAGAACATATTTTCATTATTACACCAGTTTACAAGCTGCTGGTTAATCAATGTGTGTGTTTTGTTTGTCCTGCAGCAGCAGTCGCAGTAGGTCATAAACAGCCTCTTCAGGTCGCCCATTACCTTTGTGCCACATGCTCAATTGAAAGCAAATGTGTCAAATGTGTTTCTAGCAAACTTTTCTTTCAAATGATCGTGATTAAGCAGCTCTGTATTGTGCGCTGTGTGTTCCTTGGCAGTGACCAATGAAAGGCTCATAATTACATGTTAACACCTGAGCACCACACCCTGTGTTAGCCACTGAATCCCATCCATCAACTGGCTGTCCTCCACCCTGAACACTGTTAGCTTTAGCAGGGCGCTGCTTTCAGCAGTCGGCAGCAGCAGCAGCCTCTGCTCTCACTTCTGAGCAAACACGGCTCCAGCAGCACATAGTTGTGTGCACAAAGTTTGTAGCTGGAGGGCTGGGATGGTTCCCTGGTGTTTGTGTGGAGGAATGAGATAGTGGATATGATCTAAACAAACTTTGGTTTTCTCTCTTAAACATCTCTGATTAGATCTTACGGCTCTGATTTTCCCCTTCAGCTACACAAAACCAGCAGCCTGTAATTATTCCAAACACTACAAACTGACCGCTTACTCGGCTCGTCTCTCTTTCTCTTTGCCTCATAATCTCCTGCTCTTTTTCTCTTTTACTTCTGTCTCTCTGCTCAACTTCTCCACCTCATTCAGCTGATTGACAGAAGCGTACAGGGAGTATCAGGTCAGGAGCGAGGGGACAACCATTCCTCTTTTATTTTTTTCTGGAAAGCTGCTTTGATTTGAGGGAAGAATCAGTTCAGTGTTGTGTTGACGTACATGTCCCAGAGCTGGAATAGTGCTCTCCCGTCATGTTAACTAGATGTATTTATGCACAAACCAGAACACTTGACATTTACTTTTATCTTTTTAACCTCACTGTCTGCTTTAACATTTTATACCAAGAAGCAGTGAATATCCGCAGCACTGTGTGTCAGTTCATCTTGAGCATGTACAGTTCATAATGAGGTCACTTGAGGAAAAGAGACGAGTATTTGGGTTATTATTAACTCGCCTTTCATGCATGGCTCTCTGGGTGAAATGCATGGTGTAGTTTTGTGAGATTATGAGTCGGAGCGATGGGAAGGTGCTGTTCTGGGTTTGTCCTGATGAAAGGAGAGGTTGTGCCTGGGGAGCAGAGCAGAAAATGTCCGTGCCAAAGCTTGTGTAATATTTAAAGTAAGCACAGACGGGCACTGGGATGAGCGCCTTTTCTTTGGAAGCACACTAAATGGAGGTGGAATTTTTTTTGATGTTGCATTGTTCTCCAACAGAGCCTCAAGCGGGTTTTCACAATGTTCACTTTTCTTCACTCAGAAATGAACCTGACAGGAAAATGTTCCCCCTCCTTTTCTCCACCCAGCGTCTCCTGCACAGAGAAGGATTGAAAGCTGTGCTTACACAGCACTGATCTGAATGATTTGTTTGCACAGTTGGGTTATGCCTATTAGTAACAATTCAGTCTTTCTTAATGCTTACTGGTTATCACTTCTAACATTGCCAGGGATCAGGGAACATCCATTATTCATGACTCCTTGCTTTACAAACTTGACAATGTGCCAGCGTGTGAGAGCAACCATCACATTTTGGCGCCTTCTATACCTGCCGTGATAGCGCCTTCATTCCTGCTCTCAGAACCAAAGCAAAGCCATTTTCATTTCTAATCGGCACTCAAACCTGTGTAGTGTTAGCTTGCCAGCTTTCTTCAAAAGCTCTGTATGATGAGTGGCCATCAGATGCTTTAGCAGAACACCCCTCCCTTGAAGATGAAAGCCAGGCCCAGTTTAATTGCTGCTGGAGGGGTCCATTTTATGGCGCTCCTCGGAAGTCCCAGAGGCTCTCTGAGACATCTTTGAGGTTTGCCCAATACACACTTGAAGCACCAAAACTTGTGTGTGTGTGTGTGTGTGTGTGTGTGTGTGTGTTTATTTAAGTAGGTCATAATCACAGTCTTGTCTGTAACCTCTTTTTGCCTCAGGAGGGACCAGAAGTGCAGAGTCCAGGCAACAGGTGTTGCACACATCGATCTTTTAAAAAGTTGTTGAAGCGTAGAAACAATTGTTTGGACAGTTGTCTAAAATCTGTTTGTCTTTTCTTTTTTTCCAGTACTCCACAGACCTGAAAAAGTTGTACTGCCAAATTGCCAAGACGTGTCCCATCCAGATCAAAGTCCTGACCACGCCACCTCAGGGTGCTGTTATCAGAGCCATGCCAGTTTACAAGAAAGCCGAACACGTGACCGAGGTGGTGAAGCGATGCCCAAACCACGAGCTCAGCCGCGAGTTCAATGATGGTCAGTTCTTTTTAATTTCTCTTCGATGTTTCACTTCTGTACTCGTTGTTTCCTGACAGCATTTATGAACTACACTCTTTTATCCTCCAGGTCAGATCGCTCCTCCGAGCCACCTGATCCGTGTGGAGGGAAACAACCACGCCCAGTATTTGGAGGACACCATCACTGGAAGGCAGAGCGTATTAGTTCCTTACGAACCTCCACAGGTGAGCTGTCTGTCATCATGGAGTGAGGCCAGCTCAATGCCCTGTCAGCAGCACCTCAGCACCTCTGCATGCACTGACTGATAGAGCAGTGACAGACTCTGAGAGAGCCCGGCCTCTCATGTCCAGGCACTCAGCAACAATGTCTCCTAAAGACCCTCAGAAAGATAAAGTCCTGTTGCTCATTGTTTCTTTTCTGTTAGATTGTAGGTTTCATGGCAAAAAACAAAATGTATAATTCAATTATCAAACATATGAGACAAACAAGATGTTTTGCCATGCTTTCATTTATTACAGATTCAGTTTAAAGCAATATGAAATGTCTAAGTTAGGACTGATTGTAGAAAAACAAACACAGGAAGGCGGAGGTTTGAGAGGATGAGAAATGTGTCAATTGTGCGATTTGCTGCTAGATTTGTAAGAAGGGTCACTGTTCGAAAAGTGTTTTGTAAAAGTTTGCCAGATCTGGTAGAATTTGCTTCCCCTTCTTCTCGATGAGAAATAATATTTTGTCAAATGCAGGTCTTACATAGCATCTGTCATCAGGGCTGGCTGGGTGGAAGCCTTTTTTTGTCATCAGTTTAATTATGTCAGTTTTTCCTCTGAATAGCAAAACATCAGTGTATTTATCCAAAAATAGATCCTGGCCTTTAAAATGTCCAAAATGCTCTCCGAGACCTAATATATCTAAATAAATATAGCCACCAAATGATTAATATCATTAAGGCTTATTTTAAACTCTGGATTGACACTCACTGAATTTATCTGTGCATGTTAATGCTGTCTCTGATTTCCTGTCCTAAAACCTTGTTTAAAATCCTCATCCTGTGTGTTTCTTCTCTCTCAGGTCGGGACAGAATTCACCACAATTTTGTACAACTTTATGTGCAACTCGAGCTGCGTGGGTGGTATGAACAGACGGCCCATACTCATCATCGTCACCCTGGAAACCAGAGAGTAAGAGACAACATCAAACATCATCCTCCTCACTCGTTACCTGTTGTCGGCTTATTTCTGACCTGCAGTGTGTTCCCTGTCTCCCCCTAGTGGTCAGGTACTAGGCCGCCGCTGCTTTGAGGCTAGGATCTGCGCCTGCCCGGGTCGAGACAGAAAGGCTGACGAGGACAGCATCCGCAAGCAGCACGTAACGGACGCCACAAAGAGCAATGACGGTACGAAGCGCCGTAAGTAGGGCTGGGCTGGTGGTGGGCTGACGAGCTTTGGTCTTAGCTGACATGCTGCCAGTGTCGAGGACCCTCAACCTCTGCACCCCCCTAACACCTGAGGCTTAGCTTTCTGCAACCTTCCTCCTATTCTGCTTGGTTACCTCCTCCTCAGACTAACCTTTCACAACTAAACTACAATACTTACAAGTTCCGCTCTCTCTCTTCAGCCTTCCGCCAGGTCTCCCACGGCATTCAGATGTCCGCCATCAAGAAGAGAAGATCTACAGATGAGGAGGTCTTTTGTTTGCCTGTAAGTGTTGCTTTAATGTTTCAGGGATTTGCTTTCAACCATTGTCCTTATTTTTATTCTTTTAAATAAACTACAGGAGGAGTTTCTGAACTCAAATTGAGTTAGTTATGGAGCTTTAGATTTGGATACAGGTAGACAGAAAAAATCAAAACAAAACTCCAGGGTACAATAAAATGCACAAATTATTTTAAAAAAGGTATTTTTGATTCCCCTCTGATGCCAAAGATGCCTTTAAAACAAGTCCTAGTTTGTTTTTAACTTCTGACATGACCTTGTTATGACTATGTTCAGTTTAAAGAGTATGTCTGAGCTGCTTACTGACCACTTCCTTTTCTTTTCTGTTTCTTTCACAGATTAAAGGCCGTGAAATTTATGAGATTTTGGTAAAAATCAAGGAGTCTTTGGAACTCATGCAGTTTCTGCCGCAGCACACTATAGAGTCATACAGGCAGCAGCAGCAGAATCTCCTTCAGAAACAGTGAGTACATGTTTACTTTCATAAGAAAGCCATTGGTTTCTCAGTCAGACTTACATCACATGCGAGGTTCACCCTCACATCACCCTCTGTCTTTGTTTGCAGAGAAGCGTTTCTTAAATCAAATTATTTTGGTTTTGAATCAACTGCAGTGATTCGACTTAACATGACTGACTTGTTGCTGCACCGATAAAGGGTTTGCATGAGATTTGTTGATTCTATTTATTACAGCCATTGAAGCATTGCTGCCTTCAAAGAAAGGTTGATCATAATTGCCCTGAAATGGCTCTTGTTTAGATTTTCCCAGCAGCCTTTGCTCAATGCTGGTAACTCAGAGGGTGAGCCTTGCATCAAGCAGAGCTGTTTTTTTCCCCTCTCTTCTCATGGGATAAGAGCCAGATCCGATGACACGTGACAAATGTACCTGGCTATGCTTTGTTAAGGAGAAGCTTCCAAAAGATTGCTGGTTACGCCTTTGGGTGCTTTGCCAGGGGTTTGCACAACAGCAGCACCCAACAAAATCCGTGCCTCGGCCTCTTCTATTTATTTTGAGCATAATTAAAAGTGTCTCCGACGCACATGTTCACACACTCTTTTCCTCGTCCACGCCCATTTCACTATAAGCAATGGAAAAGAGGTGATGGGTGTAAATGATAGTTTGACAGCCCTGTGATGATAATTACTGCTTATGTTATGGTTTCCCATTAGGAGACTGGCAGACAGACGCACAGTGAGATCATGCTGCATTTGCTAGTTTTCGCTTTATTTCTGTTTGTTGCTGCAGACCTGTCGCTGTCGGGCCAAAATGATGATATTTAAAAAGTAAATCCTCGTGAAAGTCGTGTAAAAATCAGACAGTTCAATCAAATAATCATGCATCGAAGGTTTTAGAGGATTTGTTGAACATTTTGGATTTAAAATTCTTTAATTCTGAATGATTTAAGGAAGTCTTTTTTATAATTTATTTTGTGCTGTCTGTGGTTTTCATCACCAACTGTAATGTTAGAGGCCACTGAACAAGTTCTCAGCCTGCATTCTTTATAATGACCAGCAGGGGGAAACTCCACAGTGTACCTAAAACAGACCTTACTTCTAACTTAAAGTATTAACTTAGGAAACATTATCCTCATCACTTTGGGAAACACTAGTTTAAGTTTCATTAGAGCACAATGTTAGTTTTTTTAAATGATGGTCCATTTTATGGTTTAGAAGACAATAAAGCAGGTTATGTGTTAAGGTTGTTAAGGTGTGGCTACCTGTGATTGACACGTCATGGTGCTTAATTCTTTTATACCCCTCTGTGGTTTTCATGCATGTTTTCTGTGTATATTCCAAAAATCCTTCTCTCCTGTAATTAACTACTCCTCCAATGTTTCTCTCACACTTTGAAATAAAAGGTTCTGTCAACAGTAAATGTTTCAGGCCTTTTCTTCCTCCTCTACATGATTTTAAAATAACGCCAGACTGCTGACCTGTGGTCCTACAGTGCCATCTTCTGGACAGTGGCATTATTGCATATGATTGATTTATTAAGAAACAACAACTTTGTTCACTTCTTACTGTGGGTCCTTTTTCATCTGTTTTTTTCCTTCTACTTACTGGCCCTCTGGGCCTCCTCGGGGTCTCTCCTCCTCTTTCAGCGAGCCCTTATTTCTGCTCTCTCTTCTTTCTGGTTCCTCCCTCACAGTCTGATAAAAACCCGCCTTGGTAGCCAGCTCATGGAACCGGCAGGCGAGCAGAGGCGGCGCTGGAGCTCCTCCTGAAACTCTGCCTCACATTCCTCCACCACCTCCTCCTACTCCTCCTCTTCGCACTGAGCTACACGGAACTCCTCTCTGTCTCCTTTTATCCACTTTGATTTTTCTCATTTTCTGCTTTTTCTGGTATTCTGGGGACTTGACACTGAAACTTTCTATCTTTGAGAGCATCATGGAAAAGCAGTCATGCAGGCTGTAGCCCTACATGCTGGATGAATCCTTTGTCAGAGTTTATAACTTCAAGACTGATTTGCATGCTTTAGTCTGTCCATAATAAAAAATATATTTTGCAGGGTTGCCTAACTGTTGTTCAGGCTATCCCTGTCTTGTTTTATATTCTTGTCAGTAATCTGCTGCATCGAGTGCGTTTGTTAAACATTTGTGCTGTTCAGCCTCTTCTGACGGCTGAACGAAGGAACAAAGCCTAAAAGTGGACTGATGAAGCTTATTACAGTCAATGTGCTTTTGCGTCGCAATGAGAGCTGGACTCATAAAATCTATATTTTTGGGATGTTTTGGTGGGAGAAGAAAAAACTGAATGATTATTTAGAAATGTTTTTTTTTGCTAATGCTGGTCATGTTTTATAAAATCACTGCAGGACAGTTTGTTTGAACTGCAGATGTGCACAAAGCAGATCTGTTTGAAACAGATTTCTATTTTTGTGGCTGTTGCATTGTTTTGTTTCAGTACGTAATAAATGGCTTTCTTTGTTTGAAACATGTCCTTTTCATGAACTGCTCATCATCAGAGAATGTGTGGTCGGTTTTAGAGTGATGAAGGATAGACTGATCATTATTTCAAAGGTTAAAAATGATCAAAAATGACCAATTTGGATGCAGATATTTTCAATACCTGAGATGGAATTACATTTTTTATTTTTTTACTTGACTTATGCCGAAGGTTGTTTCTTGAACAAATAACTTAGTTGAAGAATATGCAACAATATTTGATGTTTTCAAACAGTTCAAGTGCAGACCACTGAGATGTTCAGATCGTGCTGAGAGTATAGCCAGCTGTGGGCTCAGAGCACCCTCTGCTGGAGAATCTGCATATTGACACCAAGTGTGAATCAACACAGACATTGTTTTCTCCAGCCCAACCAATATATTGTTTGTCTAATAATATTTGCAAATATTTAGATAATAAGTACTGATATATACTGATAAAAAAAAAACCTTTTCAAAGAAAATCTAACGAAGAAGACATTGCCTTGTTTGATTTAGAAATGTTGTCTGATAGTTTGCTCAACAAAGCGCTCAGCTTCATTAGTTTACTTAGCATCACACTGCAGAGCATCACAGTAGAGAAGACGATGGTTGGGAAGAGAATTGTTTGACAAATTGTGATGTAAAATAGAATTAAAGGAACTTTTTTTCAGTAAGGAACCTTCTTGGTGCCCTTGTCATATGCGTCATATCAGTGCAAACTCGTTGCACAGACCACATAAGATTGGTGTGTGTTCTTTTAAGTTAAAAATGCATTATAGTTGCCTCCATATTTGTAATCAGAGAATTTTCCCTCTAAATTTAGTATCCCTTTGGTCTCCGAAATCCCAAATCTGTGGGGCTGTTCTGTTTTTCTGTATTATATTTTCTGTAAAAAATAAGTTTACATATTTATAAAAACATGTACAGATCATTCTGTGGCCTTTATCAGCAGCTTAATATCCCAACTGATGTATCAGTGGGGGTCTTCTTAGTATCAGTATTTAAAAATCAATGTAGTGACTGTAATATCCTCAATTGCTATTTTCAGTTTCAGTGTTAAATCAGAATACTTTTTGATATCTTCAGTTTAAGTTCACCCCTGACCACGTCTTTATCGTTCATCCTCCTGAATGTCCCCTCTTTTCTCCCTCACCAGGACTTCGATGCCGTCTCAGCCCCCCTACGGCTCCAGCTCCCCGACTCACGGAAAAGTCAACAAGCTGCCCTCCGTCAGCCAGCTGATGAATCCCCAGCAGCGCAACACACTCACCCCGTCCGGCATGTCTGGAGGCCTAACTGACAGTAAGTGTGTCCCCTTTGTTCTTCGTCCTGTCTAACTCAGACCGTCCCCCCTTCCTCCTTCCTCCCCCCTCCACCCGTCGTCACGTCCCTTCTGGGCTGATAGTAGACTTGTAGAGACAACGTGTCTGGGCAGGCAGGAGGGGGACTTGAACACCTCTCGTCCCCCCTGACAGAAAGCTTCCTCCTCAGTAAGAATGTGATCCCTGTGAGACTGTCCTGCAGGACCTGTTGTGATGCATCATGTGTCATGTTGAGAGTAACCTCTGCATGTCCCCCCCTCCCTCTCAGATTTGTTTCAGTTGACGTTACGTAATCTGTATATCTCAGAGCAGTAAGAGAAGGCTCACAGCAGCTGCTTTTGTCTCTGCAGTGTCTCCTATGATGGGCACTCACATCCCCATGAACGACATGAGTTCACTGAGTCCCACACACGCACTGCAGCAGCAGCTTCCCCTGGTGCCTTCCTCCCACTGTACCCCCCCTCCTCCATACCCCATGGACAGCAGCATCTCCAGGTACCTCACCAATCCACAGTGGGACACTTCTAGTGCTTGTTTTTACACTTATGTAGGAAAAGGGAAAACTTTGCATGCCAAAGTCAGAAACTTGTGTTTGACTAGCATGTGCAAACATGTCATTTAAAACAGGTTACACAGTTATTTACTACAGATCAAATATAGACCCCAAAAAACTAAATTACCTTGCATTTACGTAAAATTAACTAAAAAATAATTAATGCAGTAGAAGCACACAAACAATGTTAGAAAGTTCAGGGCCATAATTGCAGGTTTAGGTAAGAATAAAATTAAGATACAGAGCTTGTCATAACCTCGTTAGAGTTCTTTTGAGAATGGAGGAGCTCTTTGCCCATTTTTTTCTTATCCTTGAAACAGTCATGTTAAGTAAGAAATGATTACATATTAACCTTCAACACTTTAATACTAAACTCAACACGTGCCTGATCAAAAGTGAGACTTCCTTTAGCCACCAGCATGCAACATGCTTATCTTCTGTTGCAACATTTTCACCTGTGAGAGCAGAAAACCCATAAACTGTGTTTCAGAATCCAACTTAGCCTCTTCGTTTAAAAAACAGAAAAAAAAGTCAAAGCTGAAGCGATTGTAACATGCATTTTTTCTAATGGCCTGCAGGGGGCATTAAAAAAAGAAGAACACTTTGAGAAAACAATACCTCGTGATTCATATTTAAAATATACTAATGATTATATATTGCCTCAGTGAACATTTCCTTGTATGCTGCTTATCTTAATTGCTAGTTTCAAGTCATCAGTTTGATGTGATGCTCTCACAACAGAAGCTCAGACCAACAGATGACGTCACAGTAGAACCACCATCTATTGTCATGGTGATGAATTTGGTCATACATTTTGAAGGCTATTCTCAAACAGAATCAGGTCGAGAAAATTATACAATTATTTGGCAACCGTGCAGACCCTGAACTGAACTAAACTGTAATTTTGTATCATGCCTCAAATACCTTGTGTCTCTTTACCACTCGCAGTAAAAACACTTGTCCTGTGAAAACTAAGTCAGTGAAAAAGTCCCCATGGTCAGTTTGTTCTGTGAGCTCACCTGTTTGACCGTTAATGTGGACATCAGTCTGATCTTGCTCTCTGCTCCCCTCACAGCTTCCTCATACGGCTGGGCTGCGCAGGCTGCTTGGATTACTTCACAGCACAGGGCCTAAGCAACATCTACCAGATTGAGAACTATAACATGGAGGTGAGCCCTTGCCTATCCAACACGAGTCATATGATGGGTTAGAGAGAAGAGTGGCTCCCCCTGCGCATACTAACGCTCCCCCCTGTGTAATGACCATTAGGACCTGTCCAGGCTGAAGATCCCCGTGGAGTTCCAGCACATCATCTGGAAGGGCATCATAGAGCACCGACAGGCCATGGATTTTTCCCCACCCCCCCACATAGTACGCACCACCAGCGGGGCCTCCGCCGTCAGCATGGGCTCCTCCGAGGCGCGGGGGGAACGCGTCATTGACGCCGTGCGCTTCACCCTGCGCCAGACCATCTCCTTCCCTCCGCGTGACGAGTGGTCCGACTTCTCCTTCGACCTGGATTCTCGCCGTAACAAACAGCAGCGCATCAAGGAGGAAGGAGAGTGAGAACGCCGCCGTCGTCTTCGCGGAGTCTTTGTTTCAAACTTCACGCCTGCTGTATGAACATTTCATTTAAAAAATAATGGTACTAGTGCAAATACTGCTGAGAACAAAATTCACATATGGTGCACTTATTTTCTTTGTTGTTGTGGTTCAAAGGTGCTTTTAATTATGTTCAATTTCTTGAGAGCACTTAAGAAATGTTGAGGATTTCAGTTTCTGAGTTCATTCCTGCGGTAAAGCATGACTGCAAACCTTCATGACAGGGCTTAACGGGCTTCTTGTGTGCTACAAAGTGTTTTGTTTTTTTTAAATAACGTGACAGACTTTCAGCTTCACTGCTCTGGTTGTATTCAGGTTAGTCGACTACACTGGTTTTCATTAATGGCAGAAGTCAGCGTTGATTGTAAACATTTTAAACATTTCAAACATTTCCTCTCAGAAGTATTATGTCAAGTGATGGGCAATTTGATTTTCTGCTTTGATTTCTATATTTTGCTTTGTGTTTTTTTTTTTTTACGTCTGTTGTAAGACCAACGCAGCGCTGTCGTGTGTCAGGTTGTGAAGTATGTGTGTTTAAGTGACAGATGGTCGTTCATTTGATGTAGCCATATATAGGCCTAATGCTCTTGACCCAGTGTTTCACACTAAAATATAATGACTGATGTCCCTTTTCTTTGTGGTTGAATATCAGTGTTTGCTGTTGCAGCGAGCGCCTTGTTCAAGTATTTTTTTTTTATTATCATGAACCGTGTTTTGGAAGAGGTTTATTTCATTTGATGACTGGCCAAAACTTCTGATATAGTGTATATAAATTTGTATAGTTCTTTTATTTGAAAGTCTCCCTAAAGAAAATGCATGATTTTCATCCTGTTAGAGAAACTGATGTGAATATTGTCTTGTAGCTTTACACATAAACAATGTTAGTGTTCATTCAAAGGAGAGCATAAAGTCTGTGTGTGTGTGTGTGTGTTCACACTCCACCAGCCCGTCTTTTACAACGTACCCAGCGTCATTAGGAAGCAGAAACAGTCTGCATTTTCTTATTTTTGTACAATGTGTTGTAAATATGTTGCAATATATCAAGGGTATTTTGATATAAATCTGAAATAAATATCCATACTTGCTGTACTGCATGTGAATACTCCTTTGTGTGTGATTATTGAAGTCTGCTACACTGAAATCCCTCCTCACAGTTACATCAAGTCAAGTTCACAGACAGAGAACAAAACTACATTTACACACTTTTGGTAGTCCAATTATATTCTTTAGAACAGTAAATGTAAAAGATTAATTTGTTCTGATAACATAAACCAGTAAAAGTTATAAATTCACTTTGAGTTTAGAGAAAAAAGCAGAACAGCGGGAGTGACAATAATTTAAAAATAACTGACAAATGAAGAGCAGTTTGACTTGCTCGTCCTTAAAGCCTCCACGACACCAGGGGGCAGGAAAGAACTAACAACCACAGCTGATGATTCAATGCAGCGGCACCATGAGATGCACTTATTTGTTACATTCTATGGTAGCACCTCTTAAACAACCCAAGTAGAGATGTAGTGAAGGAGAAATATAATATTCACAACTCATTAAGAAAGTCTTCATATTTAGGCTCATTTTGAATGAATTTTGTCTTTCTTGGCAACATTGCACTTTTCCTTCCCAAAAAACATTCTTCAATAGTTCACACAACATATAAATAACATTTGTTCCTTTTGTAATCATGACTGAGCTGTTCATGTCGTTTTTAATGTGGAATTCATGTTTTTGTCATTTCCAGCAGCTTAAAGTTGGACAGATTTGCCCCGCTGGATTAAGTTTGCAGCGATCTGATTGACAATTAAAAACTTAAAATATCCAGCCGTCTAAAGACACACCATGAGTCTCAGCTCACTGTTAATATCGCTAAAATTTGAGTCCAAAACATAGTGGCAAAATGTTTCCTGTTTAAGTGCTGTGAGGAACATGTGTGAATATATTTTATGAGTTGCATCAACTTTTTCCATTGTTTCTTTTAAAGTCGATTTGATTGTTATTAAGTGTGTCATCAATCGTCTTTTGATGAGATCATAAAGCCCTTTAAAAGCAATAAGTTGATGGATTCCTTTGACCACAGTGTTGTGACTTCACTGCTACCTTTATTTCAGTTCATCTTCTCACTGAACAAAGAAATAAGACGCAGGACGTTCTCCTGCACAGTTCTTCTCATGCTTCACATTATTTACATTCTCAAAAATAATTTGTCTTTTTACATTCTGTTACATTTTATACAGACTGTGAGACACTTTATGGTCAGTCTGTGTGTGGAGGTCATGGTTACTCCACCTCGGCAACGTGAGCGACCTCCACCTCCATGGTCTGGATCACCTCTTGGCCTTCTTCCAGTTTGGTTCCTGTGAGCGCCTGCTGGGCGAGGACATAGTTCACCACCTGCATGATGCCCTGATCCGACAGCGTCGCCACCGAGCCTTCAGCTCCAGCATCCACGGCCTGCACGGCCTCCACCGCCTCTACGGCCTCCACCGTCTCCTCCGTGATCAGCACGGTCTCGATCTCCTCTGCGGGCGTCTGCTGGGCCGGGCGGAGTTCAGGGGGCAGCTCGGACGCCAGGATGCTGACGGCGTGCTCCACCTGCGTGCCCTGGTTGTGGAACTGCAGCGTGTCTTTCTCCAGCATGATCTTCCCGGGCAGGTTGTCTCCGTGGTACTTGGCCATGTGTTTACGTAGAGTGCGGGCATCGATGTGGGCCTCCTGACACATGGGGCACACGTACGGCCGCTCCCCTGTGTGTGTGCGCACGTGACGTTTGAGAGAGCGAGCGTCGGCCCAGGCAACGCCACAAGTCAGACACTCGAACGGTTTCACTCCTGGAAGACAAAAAGAGATCAGATAAATAAGATTCTGTGAACACAAGACTTCATGCAGCCTGGTTCTGCCTCCACTGTTCAAACATACGCATCAGTTGCAGATCAGTCTGGCTCTTCTGTCTTATAGTTCAGAGGCTCGTTACCGTCTGCTTGTGGTGGGCTTCACCACGTCTGCTGAGGTTTTTTTTTTCGAGGTGGGAACTTAACACTTAGGGCCAGATTTACTAAAGGTTTGCGTGTCTTAAAACGTGTGCAAACTTGATACCACCATCAAAAAAAGTGATATCTGATCTACTAACGGCGCGCAGTGAGGATTGCGTCTTTCAAATGAGCAAAACAACACGCATTGTCCTTTTAGTACGTTTGACTTAATGACTATTCAATATGGGGCGTTTCTGCCCTAAAGTGCAAAATACTGGGAGGACAAATTGCAAACAATTTAGTTCAGGCATTGAGATTTACCAAGCCTGGCAAAAACTGCGGTGATTGTGACGGTGTCTGAATTTAACACCTTTGAAAGGAACGTGCTTATCGAGCAGTGTTACACACAACAGGCTGCTGTTATTGAAGTTAGGAGGAGACATAGGCACAACAAAAGGCATAAAGATCGCGTTTTTCCCCACAAGTGTTTAAATGACAGAAAATAAATGGCATGCATTTATTTTTTAATTTGATTCAATATTCTAATCGTTAAGGAAGAGAAACACCATGATTAAACTACAGGCTGTTGTTGCCAAAGCCTACAGCCAAAGAAAACTGAACATCCACAGCCTCTGCATTCTATAGAATTTCAACATTGACATTTATGTCTTCCTATTTCCCTCTTTTCACCAACATTATATTTTAAACTGGGGATTTCCCTTTTCTCGGGTTGCTTGTCTCTCCCCCAGCTCGCCCCCTCTGGTGCGCTCCTCTCCTCCCTCTAAAGCCCACTGCTGCTACTCTGTAGGAGTAGCAGCAGTGGGCTGTGTCTGATCTGTCTGATCAGACACAGCGCTGGCCAGCTGTCTGGTGCACATCAACGGTGAGTGTAGAGCTCCGGTGCCACAGAGGACACAGCTCACACCTCCTGCACAATGTATGACACTTCATTCTTAAGATTAAGGGGAGAAGAGAGGCCCTGCCTAATGCCGAGGTTTTCTTATAACCAAAATTTTCTTTGTAATATTCAGATTTTTCTCCTATAACTCCAAAGTATTGTGCGTTTGTTTGCCTCTCTCACTAAGACCTGTTTTGTGCTTGCAGTCATCCTGCTTTCTGTCCAAACTCTCCGTGATGTAAACCAGTAGAACATGCAAAAGCCTGACTTAAATAGTACCGCCTCCACAAGGTTTGCACCTGTTGTCATTCATGCAAATGAATTTCTTAGTAGATAACCCGCAAAACGCCCACCAACCAAACGTGCAAACTTTTGGAGTGAACACACAATTTAGTACTCTTTAATTGGGAGCTCAGTAAATCTGGCCCATAGCGTGTTTTGTTCATTGACAGAAAATGATGTTGCTGCATCATGTGATTTCGTTCTCTTTGGAAGGCTTTAATCTTGCTGAGCGTCGGGCAGACTGAATTCATACAGGACCAAGAGGACTTCTAAATCATTTCATTCTTGCTTGGTGAGGAAATAGAAAAAGGGGGCTTGTTACTGTATTGCACATACCGTGGGTGCAGAGCCATACAAAAACAGCAGAGAGACAAAGATATGCCCGCACACAATGCCACAAAAAGTTTGATTTAATCACAACGTTTGGAGCAGAGGTCTTTTGGGAGGTATCCCGCTAAGTGAAAGAGCGTCCACATAACCTTAGGAACTCACTCGAACCGGCCCGCCAGCATGAGAGAGAAAGAGCAGTGACAGCGTACTCGTACAGCCTACACTTCAAACAGATTTTTTAAATTTGGAAATCAATTTCCTGACCTCTGTGACATCAAAACTGGTCACAGCCAGCATTTTGAAGACAAACTAAAACAGAGCGCATATCTGAAACAGATCATACTTACAAGCACGACTGAGCTGGCAGGAAACATTTATCACACTGTGAAGAACTAAGAACGTGCACAGGCTGCACAAAGACTCACAGATAATTAACCCTTTTTTAAAATGCTTTCCTAAAGATATCCTGGATTCACGTGGGTCACCTCTTTTGGAAAACACAAAATTCCAGAGAAAACCTAGGAGGAATCACATCCCTGATGTATTTTCCAATAGTGCAGGATGTCCACTTTGTAAATTAGGGTTCAATTAAATACATTATTTTATAAGGACCTGAAATGATCTGGTTCCAGGTCCTCATCTGTCATGGATGACTTTAAGGTGTCTACATCCACGTCTCATAGAGTCTGTGTTCAGGAGTCTTACCCTGGTGGTTGTTGAGGTGTCGCCTGTACTCGCGGAGCTGAGTGAACTTCCTCCCACACTGCTCACACTCTCTCTCCAGGTTCTGCTTCACTCGGCCTTTCTTCCCGTGTGTGGCTTTCTTCACGTGCCTCCTGAACAGAGCCTTCTCAAAGAACTCCTTTCCACACACGTTACACCTTAAGGACACAAAGGAAACACGTTACACCTTAGGACACAAAGGAAACATGAGAGTGATGAACTCAAACAGTGACGTGCTGGGTACTAACTTTAAAGAAAGGGATATCTATCTGTATGTATGTATGAATTTACTTTTCATGTTTCTTCATTTAGAGAGCAGAGAACAGTTTTGGACTGAAAGACACCAAAATATCCAGTCATATGATCAATATCTGATTATTTAATACTGCAGTCTAATTTTCTCTTAGGCCTGCATGATAAGACAAAAAAATGTGCTTTGTGATAATATTGTTCAATATTGTGAAGAGGATATGAAGTGTGATTAAAAAAAAACTAATTTGAACATGTTTCTCTTTCATGTCGCTTCCTCTTTCTCTCTCCCTCTGTCCCTTCCTGCTGCAGTACTCCCGTGATAATCAGCATTTACTCTTTTAACTATCAAACCGACCAGAATTCACCACAGCCTTTCTTGACCATCACTGTCACATTTGAAACATGCTCGCTCTTTTTGCCTTTTTGTGCCACTATTGGAGAGACAGGACAGTGGATAGAGACGGTAATCAGGGAAAGAGAGAGTGGGGGGATTGACACGTGGGAAAGGAGCCACAGGTTGCATCCGAAACCCGGGGCCGCCGGCCTGGAGGACCTCAGCCTCCACACAGGGGACGCACGCATTACCCATCGCACCACTCTCTTTCACTGCCAGTTTGTTTGTTTTGTCAGCTTGGTCGTTGCAGCCCTCCTCCCCCCCTTGCCACCTCAAATCTTCTCATCAGTGGCCTCAGCTCAGACATCACGATGGGATCGCTAAGGACGAAGCATATTCTCAACGATTCTAAACCAGTGACATAAATAACTGTCATCCTCCATCTGCTCTCTCCTCCTGATCAGAATACAGATCTGCTGTAGCTCGCTTGAAAAGTTCTCTTCAACTCTGATTGCCATTTGACCTTTATATTCATCAGTCAGTGTGTGTGTGTGTGTGTGTGTGTGTGTGTGTGTGTGTGTGTGTGTGTGTGTGTGTGTGTGTGTGTGTGTGTGTGTGTGTGTGTGTGTGTGTGTGTGTGTGTGTGTGTGTGTGTGTGTGTGTGTGTGTGTGTGTGTGTGTGTGTGTGTGTGTGTGTGTCAGTGTATTTGACTGTCCCTCACTTTACTCGTGAACTCTAGAGCTTTTTGATTTTTCTAACGTCAGAGGAGCTTCTTGTAAACCACCACAGGCTTTGAATGATCTCTGATGTTAACCTCAGCACAGACTGGAGTTGTGTGTGGACTTACTTGAAGGGCTCAGCCACGCTGTGAGACTTCACGTGGGAGTACCAGTCCTTCTTCCAGCTGTAGCACTTTCCACACACCTGACACTGGAACGGCTTCAGACCCATGTGTTTGTTCATGTGCTGCTGGAGGTCTTTGGCTTCAAAGAACCTCTTATCACAGCTACAGGGAGAACACAATGAACAGTCAACGCCTTGTAGCATGAATCTTGAAATCATTAGAGGGAGATGTGCAGAGACTCACTGAGAGCAGGCGAACGGGCGGACGTCAGGTCTGGGCAGGTGCTTCTTCAGGTGTTTGCTCAGAGCTGAGGCTCGATGGAAAGTTGTTCCGCACGTGTTGCAGAGATACTTTGATTCACCTGTTGAAGGATTTCATGTTTTCATGAAAACAGCTCCAAACATGAGGTTTGATTTACAGTTTGATCCAAAACAAAGCTGTACGTTTAGCAAACGTACTAAAATGATTTAGCTTTCCTGCAATCCAGCAAGTTTTGAATTTACTTCCATTTGTTTAAGTTAAATAAATGACATCATTAGTTGTGCTCACAGAGATTTTCAGCTGCAACATTTTCTTTGCACTGTCAGTTTTTTAAACTAATTTCCTTTTCCTGTCACACAGCAGCTCTGCTCTTCTGACATTTTGTTTCCAGCTGTACTTTTACTATTTTTAACATTGTGGTCCTAAAGTGACGACAGACACACTGAAGTATGGAATAATTACGTTTACATGATTTCAGAAAATATTAACCAGTATTGGTCAGCAAAATATACTGGTTCATATTTTGCTGACATGTGGGGCGGCTGTGGCTCAGTTGGTCGAGTGGGTCGTCTCTGAACCAAAAGGTAGAGGGTTCGATCCCCAGCTCCTACAGCCACATGTCGATGTGTCATTGGGCAAGACCCTTAACCCCAAGTTATTCAAGCTGCTTTGGCAGCAGTGTGTTAATGTGTTTGAGTGGGATTAGTTACTTCTGGTGGACACTCTGCCATCAGTTTGTGAATGTGTAGGTGTGACCTGTGGTGTAAAAGCTCTTCTCTTCTCTCGTAAAAGTCAGAAGACTAGAAAAGTGCCTCACACGCTCAAGTCAATTTACCATGACATGAAGAAACTGCAGTTTCCACAACCATTATGAGAGTTGGGAACAGCACTTAAGCCTTAAATGATGCTTCTTGTCAATTAAATGATGAACAAAAAATAATGTTCTTGCAAATTGCTAGTGCCCGAATAATTGCCTTTTGTAGCTATTTAACTTTTCACTGTCATTTGAGCACAAAAAATAGTTCCATGAACCTCCACTGTATTGGAGCAGAAGGAGAAAACTAAATCTAATCTAAATCTGACCCAACAAAAGCTGAAGCGTCTGTGTGTCTAGACATCAAATATAAAGAGTGATGTGTTCAGTGGAACTTGCATCCTGACCTGTGTGGACGCTGGTGTGCTCCTCCATGCTCCGCTTGCTCATAAAAGACTTCTTGCAGTACTGACACTGGAACTGTTTGGTGACGTCGTGCAGCGCTCGGTGCATCTTCAGGCTGTGTTTGTGGGCAAACGTCTTCCCGCAGACTTTGCAGGTGTGAGGCCGGACGCCCGTGTGGTTCAACATGTGGATCCTCAGCGAGTACAGCTTGGGTAACGTCTTCCCGCAGATGTCGCACACAAACTCTCTCTTTGTGTGAGGAGACGTCGTCTTCTCGTCCAGATCGCTGTCCACCTTCCCCTCGCGGCTCTGCTCCACGGGGGGTTTGACGACGGGGGGACGCTGGCTGCTCTGCTGCTTGTGTCGCGCCAGGTGAGCGCGGAGGGAGGCGGCGTACTGGAACTCTTTGCTACACAGCTACAAGAAAGAAAAAAAACGCCTGGTCACCACATTTACAACATGACCAATTAAAAAGAACACGTTGTACAAAACGGTCACACTTACGCTGCACTTGTATCCTCGAGCCTTCTCGTGTTTTAACGTGTGCATGATGAGAGAGTAGCGTCTGGGGAAGGACATGCCGCACTCTGAGCAGGTGTGTTCTCCGTCTACAGCGCCCCCTGCGGAGGTTTTATCTTTATTCTCCCCGGTCTCTGCGTCGTCCGGCTTCCTCGCGGCCTCGTCTGTGCTGAGCTCTGTTGTCACCTCGCTCTCCATCACACTGGTGTCCGGCTCTGCTCCTGACTCACACACTGACTGTCCTTCACTTTGTGTCTCTACGGGCTGCTTTGGTGGTCTTCCCCTCTTACCTGTCCTCTGAGCAACCTAAAACACACAATCAAAGGTCACTATCTCACATAATGAAGAGACTAAGTGACTTACAGGTACAAAAACTTAAGGACGAGACTGTTGTGACTGAAATGTATAGAGTCGAGGTAAATGTGCCCCAAAGCACAGACACTAAAGGTTCTTGTTTTTGCCAGTTTTATGTCAGTCATGCCTCACCGTCATTGTAAATGTCACAGAGGAGTAAGAGCCCGTGTCCACTAACGCTGGTTTCTGCACTGGAAGCGCATTCAGTACAAAAGCAAAGCAGTTCAGCGTCTTCAGTGCGCACAGGCTGCAAGAACACCCTCAGTGTCAGCTGTTATTTGACGCTGCACTCTTAGTTGAAAAAAGTTAAACTTTTTGGAACACTGCCGGGCTCGTCAATGTCACTTCTCCCTCACCATCTAATCAGAATCAAGAAGGGGGCGGGACTTCTGATATCAGCCTTGTCAACAACAATGGCGGAGAGGAAACTAACCTGACTCGTCTTTGAATGGAACAATTTCCAGGTCCAGAGCTGCTGCTAATGCCAGACACGATTCATAACATTACTTTCATGTTTTCTCAGTGACACTTCCTTGAATAAAAGTAAACATTTAACACACAAAGATTTAAAAACAGATCTGAGAGTCACTCTGGGGAAAGTGCAAGTTAACTTTAGTAACCTAGCAACAATAAGCGCTGGTGAGAAAACTGAGGTTGTAAACACTGCCAGCGAGAAAAAGCACCAAAAAACAACATCTGCGATAACGCAATGTAAGTCCACACACTGGGACAATATATGGAGCTGTGGATTAAATGTAAAAGTCAAAGGCGTGTTGATGGCAGAGCTTCATTAGGTTGTTGTTGAGGACTAGTGATGTGTCGGTCATGAACGAGTCATTCAAAACGAACAAATCATCTGGGTGAACGAACTGAACTGAATCACTTAGTGAAAAGAGTCATTCATTTCTCAACTTCAGTTGCGCTCTCCTCTCTCCCGTCTCGTGTCTCTCTCTCTAGACCGTAAGAGTCGCTCAAAGCCCGCCCTCCCTCTCCTCTCATGTCAGTGATACGTACTGACTGAACCAACAGGACGGAGTCGGTCGGAGCTCTGTGTTACTAAAGCCCGCCCCTACTTCTCCCTCTCATGTCTCCAAAATTGAGGAAGTAGAAAATATATTATTTAACATTTAGGTGTTGCAAAAATGTTTGTGCTTTTTATATCTGCTGTCAGTTTACAAACAGCTTTTATATCCAACTTAATTTCACTCAGCTGACTGTTTTAACATCTACTCACGATCGTGTTTCAGTCAGTACTGTCTGTGTCTGTGTGTGTGTGTGTGTGTGTGTGTGTGTGTGTGTGTGTGTGTGTGTGTGTGTGTGTGTGTGTGTGTGTGTGTGTGTGTGTGTGTGTGTGTGTGTGTGTGTGTGTGTGTGTGACTGAGGCTGGTGACTCGCAGTCTTGCTCGTTCACATTCAATGAACGAACTGAGAGGAAGAGCGGAGCTCTCGTTCACTGAACGAACTGAACGAGAGCTCCGCCTCCGAGTCTCTCTCTCCTCTCAGTCGTACAGTCAGTGAGTGATTTGTGTACTGAACGTACTGAACAGAACGGTCGGGGAAAATAAATGTGATTGTTTTAGCAGCTTTCAGTTTGCAAACTGTAACTTTATCCAACTAAATTCTCAGCTCATTAGTTTATTATTCACCACCGGCTGTTCTCAGTACGATCGCGAGCAGAACTAAATGTTCGGCCGTGTTTCAGCTTATTCAATTCTGATTCACAGACAGAGCTGCAGAGAAGTACTGAACGATTCTGTGAACGAATCACTTTACTGAACTGATTCTACTGATTCAGTAAACTGAAAAGAACTGATTTTCACATCACTATTGAGGACTTGAAAAGGACGTGAAAAGGATTAGAGGAACCAGAAACAGCTTTTTATATCGCTCTTAAAAGACACCAGACTCCACTGACAAAAAAGAAGAAGCTCTAAACACATACCATGACAGAAGGCAGTGATTGAGCAGCAACTCGTGTTCTGCCAGATAAATCATTATTTTAGTCAACAGAGTCATGTGGCTTGAAGAGAGAGGTGTAACAACGACCTTAACTTGAGAGAGGAGTGATGTTACCATGACATGAAGTCCTGTCTTTGCAGGGATCCTTTCTGCTGTCAAACACTCTAAGCTTCATTTTTAGAAGACACATTTACCAACTTAATTATGGACTAGGTTTAAAGAAAGAAAAGAAAAATGCTCTAATGTGACTCTGTACCTTTGGTGTGGCGGCACGGGGTGACACTGCTCCTTTCTTCCCTTCCTCTTCTTCCTCCAACCCCATGTGTAAACGAGCGTACCCCCCCTCAGCTATGGAGCGCTGCCTGAGTCGTCTTTTGTTCGGCTCGTCTGACACCATGTCCAGTTTGTCTCCATGGCTTTCATCAGCAGAGGGATCCTCCTCGTCCAGAGGCAAGAACTCCTCCACCTCCACCACCTCCTTCTTCACCTTGGCTGGTCGCCCTCTTCTACGTTTTTGGGGTGTAGGTGTCGGCTCTGCGTTCTCCTGAGGAAGTGTCACTGCTTCAGATGGTGCTTTGACCTCCTCTGAGGCGCTCACTTTGTCTGGCTCTACATTTATAACAAAGGCTTCCGTTTCTGCGACCTGCGGCTGCTCCATAGCGAGGCAGGCTGACACCACGGCGAGGGACTCGCTCGCTCCAGCCTGTCCACTGTGAGTGACCACGGTCATCGTCTCCCCCTCTGCTCCATCTGCTGAGATCAGAGTGACCGTCTCTCCAGGCTCGGCTAGTCCGCTGTGAGCGATCAGAGTCATTGTTTCGCTCTGTCCGGCCTCCACCTGCTGCACTGCGTCTCCCTCCACAGCTTCAGTCAGCACCATCGGCTGCTGGATGTAGGCCTCCGCAGCAGCAGCTTCAACTAAAGCTAAAGGTTCACCTGTCACAGCCACGCCGCCCTGTGTGACCACCGCCTGGCCGTCGCTCTGTATGGTGACCGTGTAGGGAGCAGACTCGTCCTTTGAGCCGTCCTGAGCCGCCGGCTGGCTCGACACCACCGTGTGCACGTCTCCTTTATGATACACTGTCAGCTTCTGCGCCTCCACCTGCTTGTGCACGGACTCACAAATCTGCAGAACCTCGTTCATCAGCAGATGTCGCGCCAGGTTGGCGATGTCTGCCATCACGCAGAAATTAAAGGTGAGCATGGACGTGTATGCAAAATCAAGCAGTGGCAGGAAGCTTACTTTGGTGAATCCTGGAGGAAGAGAAGCACGTTTAATCAAGGTTAAAAACTCAAATATAAAATCTGAATAGTAACTGTCACTGAAGCACTAAGAGGACATGCATCTGTATATTTTTATTATCTTTGTTAACGAGTTATTTCTGGTAGTTTTCTTAAATCTCCACTTATTTATCTTGTTATGTCAAGGTAACAACGCTGAATAAATAATAAACACTTAATACATTATGCAACCGACCTAAATAACATTTTCTTAATATGGACGTCACAACTTTCCTGATCCACTCATTGATTTGATTTGCATTTTTAAGGTAGTGATTAACGTGGTCATCAGAGAGCGGCAGCAGCAGCAGAGTCTCACCTGAGAGGTCGACCACCGCTTCGTGTGTGGAGGCGGCGCCCTTCTCGAAGAAGAGCTCGTTGAAGTACTCGCTGCACGCCGCCAAAACAGCTTTGTGTGCTCGGTATTCCTCGCCTTCGATCAGCAGAGTGATGTCACAGAACTGGTTGTTGAGGCGCTGCTGGTTCAGTTTGTCCAGCATGGTTTGGCTGTGTTTAGGCAGGAACTGATTTACTTCACCTTTACTGTCCACCTGGAGAGAACAAAGACAAGTAAAAGATTAATCTAAGTATCTTTAAACCGTATTGTTATCTTTACATATTGGGGATTGAAATGACTAAATAATAACAAAAGTATCTTATTGATCCTTCATCTTTTTTTAAGTCTGCAGTATAAAAAAAGTTTTGAGAGAAAATGCACCAACTGTGTGTGTATAGAGTGTGTGTTCAGTAGGCCTCTTAAAAGTGTGTGTATTTTTTGCCAGTGACTGATTATTATAAGAATCTGAGAATGTTAAGACGATCTGTTTGAACACAGAAAACGGATGTAACATCTCTCTTCACGCTGCCAGACTCCATTGCAAAAAACATGTCATCATGACCTCAGAGGACAAAAGAGTTGCTCGTCTGCTGCTGCCTCGCTTGGTTGGCTCGCTTTTTTCTTGTTTCTATTAATCAGATTTTGTGTTGGACCAGAACTTACTATTTAAAACACTTAAGTCAAACAATATCACAAACAAACTGATGATCAGCAGTAAACCAGCAACTCCCATGTTTGTGAAGGATTAAATGATGGTCAATGGAGCCTGGTGGTTTTAAAAACAGCATACATCCTGTTTCTCATTTAATATTAAAGATAAATACTTGTTGACAAATACTTCAAAAAGCAATCCAAGCCTGCCAGTGTAATAAACAGGGAACTCTCAATGGAGGAACTATGATCAGGGTTTTGTTGCACATTTTACAATGTATTGCAGCCTTTGCAGCTACTATCAGAACTATTCTAACAAGTCTGGTATATGTCCAAAAATATGTGAAAATATCAGGCCATCATTTATTATTTATAGAAGGACTTCCTTTGGGATTAATCAACTCATATCTTATCTTTTTAATTAAGGAATTCCCCTAAAACAAAACACTATAACACAGGGCAATAAGTAGCACACCTCCATAACCACAAAGACTAAAACATAATGTCAGAGATACATACAAAAACCAGCTCGTGTTTGGCCATCTTGGCCAACTTTGATCTCAGGTGACTTGACGAGTCAGTGACAAATAAACCATCGTCTGCTTCTTCTTCCTCCTCACTCTCGCCCTCTTCATCATTCGTGTTGACCTTGCGTCTGCCCGGCCGGGAGAACAGCCTGATCCCTGATCCGTCATCGACCCCTCGTCTGCTCTGGCACTGAACACACTCTCTGATGTGGTCTTTCACGTTCTTCAGGATACCTGAGGCCGACACAAACAAAACACATGTGACCCAAAGAGACAGACAACATTCAAAAATGTTTGATTGAAATTCTGATTGTCAATAAATCTGCCGCGAACAGAATAACCTTGATGTGGTTTGTTTTATCTGAGTAACAGAAACTTTAAGATTATCAATTGTCTATCAGAGAATCTAATTAAGACCAATCCCATTCACAGTAGTTCACAATATGCACATGAATGATTTATATTGAAATATAAATGTATTTATATATATATGGCATGTTAACAGAGAATTTTAGTTTTTCTTTATTCCACCCAGTGAATGTGAATATTTTAAAAATGATTCTTTTGAATCTGCATCTAAAGTTACAGTCAAGTATCAGTCTGCATAAAAACATTTTTATTCCTCAAAAAAAAAAAAAAAGATTTTACAGTCTCATATATTCTGGTGTTTTGGTTGAAAATGTGACCCAAGTTATTTGGAGACCTTCAGCTGAATAGATTTTTAGATTAGATTTAGATTTAGATTTACTTTATTCACTCTGTAAGTCATGAACGCACAGATAGGCTGAAATATACACACACATGCAGAAACAGGATCCTATGGACTGATGGAGAGATGTCAGAGTGATGGAGCGGCCCACAGCGGGCAATGAGTCTCTGGTTGTCACAGCAACAACTCTTGGTGACGGAAAGTGTCATAATGAAAGCCTCTTTGTTTTTGTTTGTTAAGACATATGAGATCATTATCATAGACTTTAGATATTAAGATTATTATTTTTGATTACAATAAAACAAAGACAAAACTACAGCTGAAAGTCACCAGTTAACATGGTCACTCCACAGACCGAAACACCGGCCAACTTAAGTTTTATAAACATCTATTTATATGAAATCAGCAAAAAACAATGATATGCATCTCTTTTTAACCAATCCAATTATAATTAAATTTAAATTTACAAGCTTTATATTTATGTCTATAATAGACATAAATGTAATATTTCCAAAGCATCAAATAATCATGCATACGTAATTATCATTATGTAGATAATTACCTAAATATTAGTTATAATAATATCTTTACCGTCACAGGAGACCAAGAAACATGAACTGAGACTTGAGAAAACACGATCCTGTGAATTTCTTACATTAATAGATTAAAAACGATTTACGAGTATGTAGATCTGGTTTGGGGGTTTCTGTCAGACTTGTAGTGAACATGGGGGGGAAATAGCTGTGCATTCAAGTGAACTGAATTAAGACAATACATTAAGACAATAAATTAAGACAGGAAAAGGCAAAAATTAAGGGTCATATCAATGACCCTTAATTTAGGGTATCAAGTTATCAATAATATCTTGTCATTCTCTGCAAATACTGTCTCAATTCCCTGCCTAGTTAACTTCATCATTCATTTTGTACTTGTATACACCCCCTGCCTTTGTTTATCTTATCTATTCTGTTTAATGTATATTTTGAGCTTTCTTGTCTGTGCTGCTGCAACGCAAGAACTTCCCCTCTGGGATCAATACAGTATTATCCTATAAAAGAGTTCCGCATGTGACCACTAGGTGGCGACACAGGGTAACTGTGTGTTAAGGCGGGTGGATGGCGTATTTATTTTGGCACCACACTTTATGTTCACACGGGCTGATTTAACCGGCTCACACTGACCGTGTCCGCTCAGTTTACGGTGTCTTACCTCTCCACCAGTACTTCTGGGAGATGGTGTCCCAGGTGAGCTGCTGGTTCAGGTGTTCTCCGTCCTCGGTGATGTGTGTCTCGTTGATGAGGTCCTTCCTCCGCTCGTCCTGCAGCACCACCTCCAGCTCCGTGAAGTCATTCTGCCCCTTCAGCCGTCGCTGGTAAAATAAAGTCCCGCTCCTCACGACGTAGCAGGTCGCCGCTTTACGTATTTTCCTCTTGGTGTTTCCTGAAGTCCCCGGTGCGTAAGGCTCCCGTTCATCAGTCAGGTAGCGTATGATGGCCAAGTAGCTTTCTTCACACGACATGTCTCAGCCGAGCCGCGCTTTACACGCTCAATTATGGATTAATCTCCAAGAGGACGGTCCTCTTCGGCTGCTGAGACTGTGGTTTAAATTGTATAGAGCGATCGGTCAATAGGTACGATGAAATATGAACGCTACAGCAACATTTTAAATTGTTTCTTAAGGTGGAACTGCAGTTCGTTACCGTCAGGGTAGACTTGCCCGAACAGACAAAATGGCTGCTGCACAACCGGAACTTGCGTCAGCGTTGGCGGAAGTAGGTGAATAACATTAACCACAAGAGGGCGCCACGCACAAACAATAGAAAGTCCACAGTCACAGTGTCGCTTTTTAAGAAAGGTTTATAGAAGTGCTGGATTGTGGGAAAAAAATCATAATCACGATTAATGTTGAGATCATGATTATTAAACATTTTCTAACATCTGCATCACGTGCTTTAATCAAACTTCAACACTGAACACTTGAAAAACAAACAATAAGTGACAGAAATGTAGATATATAAAAATACTAATATTTAATAAAGATAATAAATGAATAAGAATGAATTAATTGTGTTTTTTCAGGTAGTGGTGACGAACCAAAATATAACAACACACACTTTGAAACATTTATCACACATGAAACCTTTGGACAAACGAGCGCAACACGTCATGCTGCAAAGTAATCGTTTTATCTCGATTATCTTGATTTCATGATCGTGAGAAGCCAAAATTGTAATTGAAATTGAACTCAATTAATTGCCTCACACTAAAAATATGTTTTGTTTAATCGATTTATTATGGAAGCCCTCAGCGGACATGCATCAATATGTTCTATTTCACTCCAGGACACGGAGTGAAATAAAATAGATTGGTGTACGTCCACTTCAGTCGTCTGTTATTCATTAAAATATAAATATACTAGGCTTTATTTCCTCCTTGTTCCTAAAATATAATTTGTCTTGTTTTGTTTTAAACATTGACTAAAGTTATGAGATACTTTGTGACACCTGTTACCTTTAAAATTTAAATCATATAGGCGCATCTTTATTATATCTATAGCTTAATGGTCAGTATTGGACTCAGAGTTAGATTTTATTTAAAGTGTGTGCAGCTCTTTCTAAATATGTACTTTTATTTAGAAGCAGCTTTTACTTACTAACCAATTTATATTTATCATCGTGTCCTGCGTGTGTTAAATTGGTTCATTTCATTTTATCTTTATTTTTTATCAGAAACATAAACTTGAAAGAAACAAAAGTCAGTACCCACCAATGAGCATATGATCCTATAGCCCACTTTGTCCCGACCCCTGGTGTTCTCCAGGAGGCGCTATGAGGGTCACAAACTTTTGGAGGGAAGAGAGGTTTAAATATAATGAAACAAAATGAAAAGTCTCAATGTCTGTGTGAAAATATCATTTTAATATATGTGGGGTTTTTTTTTTAGTATTTATTCATCACTGCATAGTTTCTGATTGTCAATGTGTTCAAAATAAATGATTAATATCAATACATGGATTAAATGTGTCATTGAAGAGATAAGTTTAGTTTAACATCAGCACAGAGATGATTAGCTAACCCTGTCTGCGTTGACACATCACATGTCACATTAGCTTCAGTTGTAGGTGTCACTTATCACTAAAACTCTTCATCAGGCCACGTGAGAGATGTAAGACTTGAGATACTTTAAAGTTTTCAGACATTCTCATAATCAGATAATTCTTCTTCTTCTTCTTTGTGTCTGACAGGAAACTCTCTTTTCCATTTCATCCTCCACAAAAGGTCAGAGTGTAGAAACATATAGAGAGTGATTCTTGGTGGGTTGAGGGGATTTCCCAGTGTCAGACAATGAAAACATTTTCTCTAAAAAAACATCAGTCAGTGAGGTTACATAATCTGTACAAGTGTAAACTTTACTTCTGTCCCTGAACACCACTGAGTAAAAGCTGCGTCTTTATAACTCTGAGATTCAAAAGTACTAGAAACAAGAGTGTATGTATGGCCCAGCCTTATTCATACCTTATGCAAACAAGCCTGTCGTCCCTTCCAGTTGCAGCCTGTTGTGTCTTGTTTAGGTTTTGTCTATTTGAATTTATTTTCTCCAATGACATCTCAGATCATGAAGCGCTCTTTTCCTCAAAGCCTCAGGGAAATTAGGCCGTTCAGTTTGTTCTGACAGCTTTATTATCAGTTTTATATTTGGTTTTTTTTCCCCCTCACATTAAAACCAAAAGAATGCGTATGAATCAGCCCCAGTCCTTCTTTTTAGTCACAGAGGTGTCACAAGCCGTTTTCACAAGTGCACGCCAGAAGATTTCCAGATCATTTCAGGAGGACTGCCCCCTGAAATGCTCCTGATCAGGCTGTTCACACATGCACCTCACAACAGGACACCATCCTGGTGTGAGGGGAGGAGGGGTGGAGGGTCTCATGAGGGTCAAGATGTGACTTAAAGAGAACACAGCAGAAGTGTGGGACCAAGCAGGAGAGTCGCCAAAAAAACGACAAAAAAGTCCACTACCGGCGCTCTAATGAGAATATTTGCCTTTATATCAATGATATGTTATTTAGGTTGACAGAATCACAATATCAACAAAAGAGCAGAGAAGAACGAACGGATGAACAGAGAACATAATGCAGCAGTTTGATCACATGCACAGAGATGGAAACGGTGGCGTGTCAGACAGTCTGTGGTTGTGCATCCATCGCTGGGAATAAACGTCACCCCCCCCCCCCCCCTCGAGCTGAATACTCCTGATTATATCCTGCTGTGTTCTCACATCAGCTCACTCAGGCTTCCTGCAGAAAAATACTTTAAGGGGCTAGCAGGAGAAACTTTGGATGAAGTCGGATTGAAACATTTCTCAGTGCCCCTTCAAGTGTTTTCAGGAGTTTTGTTTAGGTGTGAAAGCGTGAACATTAAGAGAGAAAGAAACAAGGATTACAATCGTCTGCTCCCCGGACACTCTGATGTCAATGACCGACCTTACAGCGGCAGCCTCTGTGTAACTGCCCGTAGGTTGATGGTAATACTACTACTCTGTTTTTTCTGAGTGACTCTGACCTTAGGGGGGAGGGGGGCGACACATCATTTGTTACCCATCCATGTGTCACATACCAGACCTGACATCAAACACTGGTCAGAAATATGTTTCACCACTGCTGTCCTGCCGTCAGAGTTACACTGAGTTCCAGGAGGGCGACTTATAGATACAGCTGAAAATGAAGCTCTTTATCTGAGATCAGGTTTTGTTTACTTTGGGGCGTTAAGTGTTGCATTCACTGCCAACTGTTCATGAAAGAATTCTTATTGCTCGGTAAAATGTAGGATTAACTTTTGTGCAATACTGGAACAAATACTCTGCAATCTACCTTAGCATTTCTTTCAGGTAATTTCTTTGACATGTTGTGGTAAGGTTGTCAAAATATTTGATTTTTATATTGAAATGATGCAATCAATTATTTTAATGCATCAAAAAGACGCTTTAAATAAAATCATTTGTTTCATAAGACCGGTGCGCAGGAGAGGAATTCATCTGTCAAAAAATGTAAGTGAACTCCTGCTCACTGCCTAAATTGCACAAATTTGTTGGCAACGTAGATGTTTGCAATTGTGGAGTAGAAGCTTGCCTACCATTTCTGATAACTGAAAAGAAGAAAATTCCCAATATTGGGTGCTGATGACTTCAATTTTTGTTGCCATGGTATCAAAACAGGTATCGATGTAATTAGATTTTCATTATTATCGTATCAAAGTTTAAAATGGTATCGTGACAACACTACCGTGTGGTCCTAAAGTAAACTTTAATCACAAACCCTGACTGTTTGCTACTGACCCACTTTTCACTCTCAGCTGCCAGAAAGTGTCGTCTTTTCACATAAAGAGACAGAACAAGTGTTGCTGCCAGCTCTTTGTCATTCCTTCTTGTTTAACTTCCCATACAGAGCTCATTTGAATGGTTTCCCCTTCCTATAAGGCGGGTGAAATGTTTATTCTCAGTTGAAATTGGCAGGAACATGGACAGGTATCGCAGAGCGTTTTAATTAATGCTGTGTAAGAGCTTATTTGCAGCCTCTCAGTGTTTCTCTTAGAGGACTTTTGTTTGCTCCAATCAGCCGTCACAATAACTTTAATAGCACTAAACAGGTTTCTTTAATATCTATCTCATTTTGCACTCATACTCTTTACCTACAGAGCTACCTCTGTTTGTTTTTTCGCTTTGCACATTTTGCAACTTCCTCCTACTTAGTGGTTTACTCCTCTGTCATTTCCTCCTGTCTGCACAGACTGTCTGGTTGAATGTAAGCTTTCTGGTGCAGAGACAAAGGCAATCATGACTCAAACCAGGACACCACTTCTCTAGGCTTGTGTTTCAAGGGTTAAAAGAAAATAACACTCAGCAGTGAAACGTGTTCTTGCAATATCAGAGCTTTGAAGTGAATGCAAAGAGGAGAGAAATGTAAAGCTGTCAGAGTCTGGCGACAATGACAGCTTAAGAATTGAGGAATAGTTTGACATTTTTATAAATACAATTAGTTTGATCAAACATATCTAGCTAATCCTACAAATACCTATGGAGATGGACAACATGACAGCTCCTGAAAAAGTGAAGCCAGAACAACGCCAACGCTAGCTGGTGGCCGGCTGCAGTGTAGGTCATTAAACCGTTCTCTGAAATTAAAGTTAAAGTCAAATACATTTTTCTCGAACCTGATTTCTGACTTTCAGAAACATTCCACTTCGACTGTCACTAAAACCATAAGAAGGGGCCTTTCACTGCTCATGAACATAGTTAACACGACCCCATCTGAAGGCACCATATCTCTGTTTACATGGCTGACACACGTGTGCTGCAGCAGGAGACCTGTTAGCCGTAATAAACAATTCAGTCAGATTCAGAGCTCTGTCTCCAGCTGACCTGTGGACCTTATGACACACGTCTTTATTTTCATGACATTTACCTCTTACATTGTCTGAGGAATCTTTACAGGATTTAGTTTTCTTTGTAAGCACGTCACACAC